CGTCCATAATAGCGGTCCGGGCAATTTCTCCCCTCGTTTTTATTGCCGACGACGCCTCCCCCGCCCCACTCTCCGTGGCCCTTTTAATCTAATCATTTTTGCGGGTCGAGTGGTTTTGCAAATGTTTCGCGCGACTCGGAAATCACGCGGCCTCCGGCTTCTGACCGCGCTCCGGCCTGGATTTACGGGCTGTTTGCGAAAGAAGAGGTATCTATAACGGCCGTTTTTGAGTCCACCCTGGATTTCCTTAACTCTTCGATTTTTCGCTCGTTGAGGGTCTGTACGCTGAAAAAAGTTTTTCTATAGATTTTATTTTAACTTCTAACGAAAGCGTCGTTTCTTGTCGGCGAAATTTGGTCTTTTTTGACGACGCCTAACTGTCACCGCTTTGGACACTATAGGTTTAAATAGAAAAAAAACAAAAAAAACAAAGTTGTCAATTTTCTGGATCCACCAATGTCCGCCTTCCTGAAGAAATAAATTGTTGAAGACACGAAGAACTTTGCAGAAGACCCATTGAAGAATCTAGCGACGTACACGAAAAAAACACATTGCTGGAATAGTGCAATACCCACGAAGATGGGTAAAATAGAAATTTTGTATTAAATTTTTAATATTGCTAAAAACGGGACTTGCAATGTGGGTGGTAAAACAACGAAACAAACTTTTGCTGGAAAAGCAAAATGAAAAAATGCGATTTTCGCAAACTGAAATTGTTAGTTCACCCACATATTAGCAGTGCGAAAATCAATGTGGCAACATCGGATTCCCCGTATTTAAACTGATACTAAATAATCGATTATTGCCGGACCACCTGGCCTCTCCAAGAATCGATACATTTCCATAGATTTAAATGGAGAAAAACAATGTTGCCAATTTTCTGGATCCGGCAATGCCCGCCGGAAGAAATAAATTGTCGAAGACGCGAAGAACTTTGCAGAAGACCCATCGAGGAGTCCAGAAACATAAGTGGAAAGTTATTTGATCTTAGTCGAGAGTACAAAAGACGGCCAACAATGACAACGACGCTTGCAGCGAAAGCTATAACGAAAGTCTCGTTTTCCGGTGTGCGAGATTTACATTCGCTCCCCGTTCGTCCGTATTACTTCGCAACTCATTCATTATTTAGTTGCCCGCCAACCCCTCCCGTCTGCATCCCTTGACTTTCGCGGATATCTTGCAAATTGCTTTGTTCGCGATCGACTGCGTCCCAAAGACTCAAAGCTCCCCGGCGCAGCGCCGCACAGTGGATGGAGTCAATGAGACGGGTCGAACATAAAATTTTTGACTAGAACTGCAATTTTGGATGTTTATTTCGTCAAATTTCAAAATTTAAGGGGTGCTAGTGGAGATGTTGCATGTGTGAGGAATTTGCGATTTAACTACTAGTTCTTTTGTAAAAGTTCGCGAGAAACACGATGGTGCTACTGGTTTTCTCTGAAATCAACTCCCAAGCTCAAAAAAAGCTCTTAAGTTGAGGCCAAAATGGCCGGGGATATCCCACCCCACCCTGAGAGTCCACCTCTACATCAAGACGAACTCTCCATGCAAAGATAGGGAGCAAAGATACATTAGCAGGGTTGCCGTGTTTTCAGTCTTAGAGTCCCCAAATAAAGTGGCAGCCCTGTCAATGTATTTGCTCCCTATCTTTGAATGGAGAGTTTGTCTTGATGTAGACGTGGACTCTCAGGATAGCGTGGGATATCCCCTCCACTTTGGCCTCAACTTGAGAGCTTCTTTGAGTTTGGGAGTTGATTTCAGAGAAAACCAGTGGCACCATCGTGTTTCTCGCAAACTTTTACATAAGAATCAGTAGTCAAAACGCAAATTCCTCACACATGCAACATCTCCATTGAAGAAAATTTTACGATGAAACCAATGGAGCCACAATTAGAACCTTAGTTTTGTATAAACGGAGTTATAAGCGTTTAAAGTTTAAATTAAGAAAATATCGATAATTGATAATTGATCAAAATGATCGCAACGGCGTCGGCGCACAGTGGATCGAGTCAATCAGAGAGGTCGAACATGAAATTTTGACTAAAACAGCAAATTATGATGTTTATCCCGTCACAATTTAAACATTAAGAGGTGGTTCTAACAGAGTATTTCACGAGGAAACCAATGGAACCACTTTTAGAACCTCAAAGTTTTGTGTAAACGGAGTTATAGGCGTTTAAAATTTCCAAATTTTGTCCGACCTCTCCTATTGACTCGACTCACTGTGCGGCGAGCGGGTGCCTGATATATGCATTGCTGATGGACTTCGAACGCTAACGTAAAATGACGTGATGTGCTGACTAAGAACCGTGGCCGTAGGGAATTTCGCGCATATTAGTGAATTTTTTAATCGCCCGTCATAACGACAGTCTGCCCTGTTGAGCATAGGTCAGATTCGCACCTCTCACTCAGTTTCCGTGGTGTAGTGGTTATCACATCCGCCTAACACGCGGAAGGTCCCCGGTTCGATCCCGGGCGGAAACAAATGTTTTATCTGCCTCATGACTTATTCTACCGTGCGGAGGAAAAACGCCGTATGAGCATTCGAGAGTTCCCAAGTTTCCTTAGATAGAATGTTTATTTTTGAGGAAAGTTATGAATATTTTTCAGGAACTTAACAGGTGAAATTGCGAACGAAATTACCTGAAAAATTTGAAGAAAAATATTCACAAATTTTCCTGACTATTCTTGATTTACCAACGGAAACTTGGCAACGCCTGAAGACTCATACGGCGTTTTTCCTTAGCAAGGCAGTATTATACATTCTAAACAGACGTGTCTTCGTCTTCACTCATGAAATATTTTTTTAGCATAAAACTTGGCAACATACTGCCTTTAAAAATGATTAACATGTTCCCATCGAATGAACTTACTAATGAACGCATTTAAATCAAAAGGAACTATATCAATTCTGACATGAGCCCTGAGATCCAGATAATACATGTACGACGGGGATCATGCCACAGTGGATATAATTTCTCCTGATTTAAATGCGTTCATTAGTAATTTTCGAATATCCGATGGAGACATTTAAATTTCAAAATCTTTATGAGGATGTTTGAGGGGCTTGGAGGACAAGGCGCCTGGGTGCAGTTTTTGCTGTTCCCAGAAATATGTGTTTGAAGTTTCGAAATTATATGAATCCTTATGGCGGGAAGGAAGTTCAAACTGACTTTTTGATGCTTAAAAATTGGAAATGTGGAGCGAATTTTTCACAGAATACGCATTAAGACTACTTCTGCTTGAAATAATTAATACCTCAATTTCTTCAAAAACTGCACTTATGCACCTTGTCCTCCAAGCTCCTTGTTTCAAGATTTTAGGCTGAACTTCAGGTAAAATGCAGTAGAACTGGATTTGATCTAATTTGCAAATCATTGCAGAACATGGCACCGTAAGACGTCACAAAGGAAACAAAAGGGCACTCTAGTTAACGAGAACCTGCACTTCGCTCACCTCTGACAAGATAATTTTGGCAACTTGGAGCCAGGACAAAGAGGGCTCGCAGATCCTCTCAAAGCTCAAGGAAGCGCTATATCGAGCGTGCTTTTGTCGGAGCGGGGCGTTTTTTCACTGCACGGTGCATCTCATGAATTTTCAGACCCCCCCCCCCGCCCCCTTTCCACCCGTCCCAACCCCCTTAATCCCCCTTAAACCCCCATTACACATCGACCGACACGGGTGGTGCATATGCACCCACCGCTGCAATTTTCACCGGGGTGTGTACGTCACAGTAAATTACCATCGCGGAGAGGCAACAAAGGACTTAGCCAGGGTGCCTACTGCCTATAAAACTAGTAGCGAAAAATCAGTTCTATTTCAGGACTTTTAATGTACCTACTTTCCCAAAAAATTCAGTACCTGCTTTACAGAAAAAATCAATACTTTTTCAGTGCCTAGATGTGACGAAATCAGAAAAAAAATCGAAATTTACACGCGAAACGCGACAAAAATGACGTAATCAGGAATTTTGAAGCTCGTTGGTGGCCAGGAGATTGACTGACTGCAGAATCGCGTTCGGGGGGCAAGGACTGGTCAATGAATCGATGCCTGCATATTTGCATGCTTTCCAGGTTGTCTTAGAAACAAGCGCGGCATGAGGCGAAAATTTCGAAAAAAAGGGTAAAAGTAGAGTATGGGAGTTGGTTAAGTTTACTTTAATCGGCAGCATGTCCAAAGATATTAGATAAACACGGAAAAAAATTGAATCTTGATTCAGCATTTATACTGTTGACAAAATGTACGACGAGTATCAAATGCTGATTTTATTAAGAATAAAATCTCTAAAATTTAAAAACTCAATTTTTCCTTACTTAAGTTTTGAAGTTTGAGTTTACTTAAATTTTAGCGATTTTATTCTTAATTTAAGTGTACTTTTCTTGTTTCTTTTGCTGATTTTACTTAAAATAAAATGCTAACTTAACATTGAATTTGTTGAATTAACCGTCGACGTAGTTATCGTAGCATTTTTTGTTGTAAAATCAGCATTCATTCACATTTTCTTAACATTTTAGGTGCTAGAGCAAAATTCATTTTTTCCCCGTGAAAATGAGGCACGCAGAAAAGGTTTGCGTGCTTCGTAGTTGCTTTCAAAATAAGAGCTTAGAGGACAAGGCGCGTAAGTATAGTTTTGGCTATTTCGAGAAATACGAGCTTGAAGTTTCGAAATTACATGGATCCTTATGGCGGAAAAAAGGTCAAATTGACTTTTTGATGCTTAAAAATTGGAATTTGGCAGCGAATTTTTCACAGAATTTGCATTAAGACTAGTTTCACTTGAAATAATTAATATCTCAATTTTTCAAAAACTGTACTTTTGTGCCATGTCCTCCAAGCCCCTCATTTATCCTTGTCGCACATTTTTTTAACATTTTAAGTGCTAAAGCAACATTCAATTTTTTTTTCGTGAAAAGGAGGTATGCAGAAAAGGTTTGCGGGCTTTGCAGTTGCTTTTAAAATATCTAGTTGAGTTGAAGGATGTAAGGGAGCGATAGTCTTACCTGGAGGTCAACTTCAGTCTTTTCGCTGACGACGGAGGGACTAGGGCTCGTCGGCCTCGGGATGGAGTTGGTTCTCGAGGTTCCACCCACGCCCATCCCTGCGCTGAGACTCGATGTTTCCATCGAAACTGCGCTTCCTGGCGACAGGGATCGGCTGAAATCACACCAAAAAATGTTTCATTAGTAGCATTTTTAGCATTTAAAAAATAATCAAATGTTACATGTTTTTGAAATCTGATCAATGGAGAATTTGCACACAAAAATTTTATTGCATTACCTGAGAGTGTCTTAGGAGCTGAGTATGCAATATTTTTCATAATTTTTCTCTGAAATGGGAAATCGGAAAAAATATATTTAAAAGTGAGAAAATGCGCGGTTTTATGACGTTATCTGGCGGCATTTTCCATTTAAACACACACTGGTAAAAAAAGTAGCTTGGATCAAGAGTCCAGGCTCTTAAAACATTGACAAGAAAAAATACTCTTGATTCAATCGGATATTTCGAAGAGCCAAGCCTCTTGATTTAAGCGGATTTCCATTTGAATCAAGAGTATTTTTTCTTGTCAATGTTTTTAAGAGTCTGGACTCTAGATCCAAGCTACTTTTTTTTACCGGTGCATGTATGTTGGCATTTAGGTTATTTTGTCATATTTTCTCCAATAATTGTTCAATTTCGAAACCAAGGATATCCTCGTACTCAGTTTTCCAGGCAGTATTATTTTAAAGATGAAATTCACAAAATTCAAGACACCTGCAAATTCTCTATTTTAGAATTAAGTTAAATTTTGTAGGAAGGACGGGCAAAGCGCCCTCACTTATTGCCGCGCTAAAGTGACTATTTCATTGTCGCGCCTGAATTCAACTATTCGTGTTTCATGGATTTCCGGGTTGCATACGCACGGAATGGAAGGCGATTTGACTTCCCAGTCGCTCACCACTTCACCCGCGGCTATCAGCATGACACCGCGAGGACGCTGGAAGACAGAGCGTCTTCAATTTTCCACTAATTTTACAAATGTGAACAATCACACACAGATATAATTCTAAAGAAGCAATTAAAATGTATTTTTCGGAAAACGGACAACGTCGAGATGAAATCCTGAATACCTAACTTTATCGTCCAATTCTAGAATAAAGTTAAATTATGTAGAAGGAATCGTCAACGCCCCCTTACTCATTACCGCGGTGACTAATTTCATCCAGGCGCCTGGATGCAACTATGCGTGTTTCATGAATATCCGGGTTGCATACGCACGGAATTGAAGGCGTTTTGATTCACCAGGCGCTCATCACCTCACCGCGGCTATCAGCACGGCACTGCGAGGACTTTAGAAGGCAGAGCGTCTTCAATTTTTCACAAATTTTACAAGGGTTGGTACAAGTACAAGGGGTACAAGGAGTTGTTACAAGTTTGCACCCTTACTCGTGGTTTTTACAATTAGGAATCATCCTTCGCAGAAAAAAATGGCTCCAATATTTTTCTTTTTCAACTTTATCAATGGGTAACTTAACCTTAAGCTTTTTATTTAATAATCTGAGGGGACAAGATGGGTAGTTTACTTGAAGATTTTGCAGCCAAAATCCCGGGCAAGCCCGCTTCAAAAGTCCAAAGACTGGAGGGAATTTTAAACGCGCCGGAATGGTGGGAAAGTGATAGAAGTGATGTGCTACGGCAGTACAATCGCTATCTCCTCTCGTTTTCCACTCGTTTGTTAGAATAAAAGGAACTTTCATGTGGAAGTTGTAGGGTATTCAAATGCAGATAAAGTTCCCCATTACTTTTCATGATGGGTAGAATATAACGTTGAATTCCTTTTGTAACTTCTGCATCATTCGATAACATTGTAGGTACAGGGTAGAGTCCCTTTATACCCAGAGTTAAGACAACTCGATTATCAGCAGACTGGCAGCCGGCCTTGGCTGGCCATGGAGGCACAAACGAGTGCACCCAAACGAACGATATTGAGGGATAAGGATAAGGAATCCTGCAATGTCTGTCATCCAAAAACAACAACATCAACAAAGTTGATCAATTAAAAAGAAAATGAGATTGGTTTGTGAATAATTTCTTAATCAATTTTCATTATGGACCGATGGAAATAGCAATTTACTCTTGATAAACCACAATTAGGTAATATTTTCATTATTTTTGTTCACATCGAGCCACCGCCACCTTGGTGCACTCGTTTGTGACTCCATGAGCGAGAACCAATCAGAATTGGAATTTTTTTAGGCCACTTTCAGCCCAACCAAAAGTGAGTTGTCGTAACTCTGGGTATAAAGGGACTCTAGTACGGGGTGTTAAAAATATATTGTCTCTGGGCGACGGTGGCGATCCGACAGCGCGGCCAGGTCGATCATGGGAGGGGTGCTGAGGGGGTTGACAGGGGGCTGCAAGGATGCCGCGAGTCCGCGGAGCTAAAGGGGTGGGGAGTTGTGGGGGGGGAGGTGCTCTCCTCTGGGAGTACACGTAGTGAGCCATTGACAGAATGAAACCTCCAACCAGGATTCGTATCTCGACGTCCTTCTAATCCCGGAGTTGTTTTAATCAATGCCCCCGGTGTCCCCCCTCCCGCTCCCCCGGGCCCGTCACCCCCCCCCCACCTACTACCTTCGCCACCGCGGTGGTGGAGGCGGCGGTATCCGGTATCACGAGATCATCGCGGCACTTGAATGAGCCCGGGCCGCCTCTTGCGCCGCGATGCCGCGCCTTCTCGCGGGATTTCTGGCTGGAGCCTCGGTTTCACAGACGGCCGGCGACGTGAGGCTGGTCGCGCGGCTTACGGTCCTATTCTGCCTTCCCAAGGAAATACTAGAGTACCTGCATGGCGAGAGTATAGACAGATGTGAAACTCCGAAAATCAATCAGGCCTTCACCGATGCCTCCGCGAATAAAGTTAGGGTCCAGAAATGCAGCCAACCTATGAATTTCAATTATTCAGAACGATTTACTAATACTATTGTTACGAACCGTCGTTTATAAAGCACGTATTTGACTCAGTTTTTGCATAAATTTACTCATTTTTTCGGAGAAACGCTCATTTCTGTACATTCTTGGTCATCTTGGTTAGAATTGGAATTTGCAGACTCTGCAAATTGACAGTGAAATTTTGTGTGGTAGAAGTTGATTAGAGGGATGGCTGCATTTTTGGGCCCTAAGACCTCCATGAAGCGATCTGTACATACGCTCGCTATACAGGTACTCTAATTCTGCCTTGCAGGAAGAACGCCATATGAGCCTGGAGTGCCTTTAAAGGGAGAGTATGGACAACTTGAATATTTGGAAGTTAGGTTTGATCAGGTCGTGTAGCTCTTGGGGCCCAAAAGGGCAGCCAACCTATGAACTCGAACTATCCAGTGGTACTAATTTACACTGCGGGAGTAGGTAAACTGATCAAAAATTATACAAGCACGTATAAAACTTTGATTTCGCATAAACTTTCTCAGTTTCAAAGTCTTAATCCTTAAAGACGCTTGTTTACAAATGCGCTGTCAGCCATATTGATTAATCTTTCAAATGCATAGGTTGGCAGCGGCACTTTTCTATAGTGATTTTCGTTTTACACGTCGCCGCTCTTTTGGGCCCCAAGAGCTACATAAATCGAGTTGTCCATACTCTCTCAATAAAGGTACTCTATATGAGCCTTCAGACGTCGCCAAATTTATTTCGACTAATCAAGCATTTTTGGGAACATTTGGACCGCGTTAAGCAGAAGGGAACCAAGCTACATCAGCTATTGCCAAAGTTACCGGGGCAATTAAATGTTTTTACATGGAAACGGTTGAGCGGATTTTTTTTTTTTTTTGCAAATGTCAGTGAATATTTTGCACAATACGAAAAAAATTGACTGAAAATTCCAAAAAAAATTCGCAAATGTTCTTGTAAAAAATTGAATTGCTGACTCAAATTTAGCAATTGTTGATATGGTTTGGTTCCTTTCTGCCAAACGCAGTCCATTTGTACATTTTATTCTCCCGAATTTTCGGACAATTCTGTTCCCAATTTAATCTGAAATATTTGAAAATTTCAAGGAAAATAATGCATAACTTTCTACCAAAATAAATTTTTTACCCGGGGCAATTTGGAAACACGCAAATGTTGATACGGCGTTTTTCCTTACCGCGGCAGTATTTGTAATCGTTCCTTACACAACCCCTTTACTTATTGTTAGAGGGCTTCGTAATGCTTTGCATTCTAAGTAAGGGATAGTTTTAGGAGGAATTTTAAAAGCATCATGAAAAGGGCAGTATCCGCACACCTTGAGTGAAATTCAGCATTATAACTTTAGAAATGAGTCATTCAAAGGGATTATAATGATTTACCACCACAAAAATACAAAATACGAAAGAAAATAGACTATATCGTCACCTTCCAGGCAAAGTATCACAAGCGCCATGCGACGTTTAATAATTTCCGCCGCCATTTTATTTTTTTACTGAGAAATTGTTGGTTGAATCTGTTCGAAAATTTCACTAAATTTTATCGGCAGCACAAAGAAAATTCGGTGTAATTTTCGGACAGCTTCGTTGAACAATTTCTCTGTAAAAAAATATAATGGCGGCGGAAATTTTTAAACGTCGCATGGCGCTTGTGATACTTTGCCTGGAAGGTGACGATATGAGTTTAGTAAATATTACCGGAGGTTCACTCAAATCTTAGATTTTGTCAAAATAATAAAATTGTTTCTTCCGCGTTTTGTACTTTTCGAGGACCCTCCATCAAAAACCCGTTAAATACAACTCTCAATTGGTAACTTTATTAATTTTAAGAGCTACACTGTTTTTCAACGTATATTAATTAAACGGGGTTTAATTTTCCTTCAACTGCGTCTGCAGCAATTGCTGTTACGAACATGTTGAGCGTGCTGATTTCAGTCGATTACATACTTGACTCTCTGAAGGCGTTTCATGTGCGCTAATTCGCTCGTTCTCCAACAGAGTACGCTACTTGCGTAAGTAAAACGCCTTCAAAGCGTCAAGTATGTAATGTGCTAAAATAAGCACGCACAACATATTCGTAACCACAATTGCTGCAGACACAGCTGAAGGCGAATTGCTTGCGCACATAAAATTCCTTCAGAGAGTTACGTATGTAATGAACGAAAATTACGTAGTAAAATTTTGGGCGTTTGGTTGCGCGTACACCACGCTGTAGCACAGTAAAAGCACAATATATAAAAGAAAAAATTAAAACGCTCTGGAAATCATTAAATTTGACACGGAACCACCTTAATATTTACAAAACACACTTTACATTCTTCTTAAATACATATTTTACTTTCATCAATTTAAATGAGAATAATTCATGCAGAGTGTGCAACCAATTCAAAATCATGAGTTGAATAACGCTGCCTCTGCGAGTTTAAATACTAGAGCCAAACACAGAGCGGCGCGGGCGGCCGGCAAGCGCGTAGCGCGCACTGGCGCCTACAAACCTAAGGGGATACTTCGAGCATTGCGCCAATGCGCATTTCGCGCCTACAAACCTAAGAGGATACTTCACGCATTACGCATTAGTGCGCCGCAGTGCACCACGGTGCCTCGAGCAACTATTTCACGACAGAGGTGTTGCCAAGGTGTTGTAAAGGGACCAAGACTCCCCTGCTGACAAGACGCATGGACGTAAATTACTAGAAAAAACAGGTGCGCAGACATAAAATCGTTGACGAAATGTCCTAAAACCCATTTTACCACCATGGCGCAAAATAAGCGAATCAGAAACAAAGTTCTCTGTTTGTTTACGTTTGAACAAGCACTGGAAAAAAAAAACAAATTGCATCTAGAGTCCAGACTCTTGAAAACATTGACGAGAAAAACTACTCTTGATTCAATCGGATTTTTGCTTGAATCAAAACGAAATCCGCATAAATTAAGAGGCTTGGTTCTTGATTTAAGCAAAAATCCGATTGAATCAAGAGTACTTTTTCTTGTCGATTTTTTTAAGAGTCTGGACTCTAGATCCAATGTGTTTTATTCCAACGAGGGCTCGATATTATATCGATTGACGTACCCACTAAATCAGTCAATACGTTCCCTCACAAAAAGCAGTCCAAAACGCTCTACCGAAGTAGAATCCCTTTATACCCAGAGTTAAGACAACTCACTTTTGGCTACCCTTTGGTTGGGCTGAAAGTGGCTTAAAAAAAATCCAATTCTGATTGGTTCTCGCTCATGGAGTCACAAACGAGTGCACCAAGGTGGCGGTGGCTCGATGTGAACAAAAATAATGAAAATATTACCTAATTGTGGTTTATCAAGAGTAAATTGCTATTTCCATCGGTCCAAAATGAAAATAGATTAAGAAATTATTCACAAACCAATCTCATTTTTTTTTTAATTGATCAATTTGTTGATGTTGTTTTTGTGTGACAGACATCGCAGGATTCCTGATCCTTATTCCTAAATATCGTTCGTTTGGGTGCACTCGTTTCGGCCTCCATGGCCAGCCAAGGCCGGCTGCCAGTCAGCTGATAATCGAGTTGTCTTAACTCTGGGCATAAAGGGACTCTAACAAAAAGCAGTCCAAAACGCTCTACTGAAGCGATCCAAAAGTAGTGGGACCCGACGTAGAGTGAAGTTGAATCGTTTGAGGATTGAGAGGCGGAAGAAATCTCGACGTGACACGGAACGTGGGACGCGGGGGGCGGGCGTCTATTGATAGTGTCTCCGATTCCGAAGACGTTTGAAGCACTTTCGAACGAGGAGAACTCAAAGGTTATTGGCACGCGGAGACGGATCCACGCTGCGCCTCCCCCGCCTCCACCTCCGCCCCCCGCCCACGGGATAAACTCACCCCCGAGTGCGTAGGTGTGGAGGGGGCGGAGCGGAGGGGGTGTTCGAATCCTTTTTCGAGCTCCTCGGCTATCTCGGTAATCTCGGCTTAAACTGCCGCGCTAAGGAAGAACGCCGTATGAACCCTCAGGCGTTGCCAAATAGACGTATTCATGCACTGAAAAAAAATCTCGGTGTATTTACTAAAACAGTTGCCAAATTTCCACCAATGAAATGCTCATTTTTAAGGAGAGCCATGAATATTTTCTCTTGAAATTTTCAGAAAATTTAAATTTAATTACAAACAAAACTCTCCGAAAAATTGAACGGAAAATATTCACGAGTTTTCCTGAAAATTCGTACTTGATCAAGGGAATTTTTTAAACGGACAAAGGTCCATACGGCGTTTTTCCTTAGCACGGCAGAATAGGATTTCCGCACTGAAAAAAAAATCTCGATGATTTACTAAGAAGAGGGTAAAATTACCAAGAATTCAGGGTTCTATTTGATCCCAGTTATTTCTTGGTAAAATTACCATTCATGGAATTGGTAATTTTACCGAGAAATCTCGGTAAAATTATTGACTTTCTCGGTAATTTTACTGGAGCTTAGTAAAAACGCCAATATTTTTTATCGACTGTGGTAGAATTACCGAGATAAAATGGCAAAGTTACCGGGAATTGATTACCAATAAAAGTGGTATTCTTACCTGAAGAAAGCAGTAAAAATACCGGTTTTTAGGTAAGCTTACCAGTCTGTCTTGGTAAAATTACCGATAATTGGTAGGAAAAAGTGAGATGGTAAAGGTACCAACGGACCTTGGTAAAAACGCCGAAAATTTTTTTTCAGTGTGCTAAAAGGAACTATGTTGCACGCAAACCTTATACACATTGTTCCTTTTAGCATAAATACGTCCAAATTTCCTTCGGAAAATCACGAATTCTCGGGAAAATTTGGGAATATTTTTCTTCGAATTTTTCATGTACGTAATTTTGTTCGCGATTTCACCTAAACAGGGTGTCTAGTCCTTTTTCAATGTGAGAAATCCTGATTTCATAATTTTTCTAAGTCTTGATTTTTTTGCGGCGAAAAATTAAAACTTCTGCATAAGCGTATGCGAAAGAAGAACTCTAGAATTAAGTTCTAAGGATTAAAAACAAGCTTTTGTAAATTCTCGGGAAATTTCGTAAATATTTTTCCTCGAATTTTTCATGCACGTAATTTTGTTCGCGATTTCACCTAAACAAGGTGTTTAGTCTTTTTTCAACGTGGGAAATCCTGATTTCATAATTTTTCTAAGTCTTGATTTTTTTGCGGCGAAAAATTAAAACTTCTGCATAAGCGTATGCGAAAGCAGAACTCTAAAATTAAGTTCTAAGGATTAAAAACAAGCTTTTCTCAAATCCTGATTTCACGACCGATTTTTCCTCAAATCCTAATGAGATCGGGATAAAATCCTGATTGACCTCAAATCCTGATAGAATCGGGAAAATCGGGAAAATCCTGATGCCAGACACCCTGCTAAAGTTTTTGAAAAATTCAAGGTAAAATAGGCATGGCGTCCCTCAAAAATAAACATTTTATCGAAGGAAATTTGGCAACCCTCGAATGTTCATACGGCGTTCTTCCTCAGCACGGCAGTAGAGGTCCCAGGTCCCGCTTCCTTCGCAGATCTGCGGGGCGATTATTGAAACTGATAGACAAAGCGATAGACAAAGATGACATAGGGGGTATACAGCAATTCTATTGGTTGAAATGGGTGGTTCTCATCGACTAAGGGGGAAAATGATAGACTAACTGTCGGGTTTCTCGTGGGTTGATGTTACTTAGTCGATTACCTACCTCCTTTGTCCATTGCAACAACCCGTTTCCACCAATAGGATCCCTCCAAATCCCTTTTGTCGTCTTTGTCTATCGCTTTATCTATCAGTTTCAATAATCGGTCCGCTGATGGACGGGCCAAATCGGGTGGCAGGTGGGAGACAAGGGTATCGTTTGCCGTGCAGCTCTGTCGAATTCTGGATAGCGATCTTTCTTGAGATAAATAGCGTTAAGAATCGTATCTTATGACCCCCCTCCCCTGTCTCTCCCCCGTAGTACATCCGTAACGTTTCTTATATGCGATTTTCATATTACCTGGTCCCCGAAGTCTACTCTATTATTATGATGAGTTGAATATTCATATACGAGTAAGTCCATTCATTATCTCTTTTAGCTGTATTTTATAAAGTTTTTATACTGTGATAAATTAATAAATTTTATTATTAAATCTCCAATATATCTCAATAATGATGTCAGTGACGCGGCGTAAACGATTGACTATCGATTTTGCCCCACTTGAAGCTATGGTAAAGAATCGATTATCAAGGTGTTCGTTGCGAACACCCTGCACACCATGGAGGCATACCCAGCGTGCCACAGGATTTAGAAAATGAATCTCCCTGAAATTTCCCTGATTTCCCCGACGCATATTGCTAAAATTCCCTGACGATTGAAGTTGTACCAGATGGCTACAAAGACATAATTTGAAATGGTTTTCAGGATAAATTTATTGTTCAAATTGTCAAGCCTGTTATAGAAAGCAAATAAAGGTGACTTGACGATTGGATTACAATTTGCTATAGCTGAGCCAAAGCGTCAAGATTGAGGTTGCCAGATTCTTTTATCGCAGAAGCGTTCATGATAACGTTTAGCGCGCGTTGTGAATCACGTAGAGCATTGAGTTTTCATGAGCGGGTGATTTCAATTCACGCACCAAGAATCGTTAAATATCTTCGGAAAGAGTTGATTTCGGTAATTTTCGTTTGGCGCATCGTGTTTTACGTGAAATTTTGGTTAAGAAACATGTATCAGAATGCTGAAATTTGCACCTTGTCTAGTGGTTCATTCCCTGACATTTCCCTGTTTCCCCTGATTGTGACAACCCTGATGCCTTGGGTTGGATGGGTTAAATGGAGCGCATGTGCAATATTGGACAGAGACATAGTAGATGAGACTCACCTGGGCATGGCGGTGGTGGAGTAAGGGGCGTCGAGGGTAGTGGCGGGAGGTTCCTGTACATGGTGCTGAGTGGCCGGGTGGGTGGTGGGCCCCCTCCGGGGATCCCGCGGGGGGTTCGAGGGAGCGTGGCCGTGCCTTTGGTCCTCATCACTCTCCTCCTCCGATGAACTCGGGTCTATCATAATAGACCCAAAGCGCCAATCCCTCCGCTATCCTGCAACACAAAATCAACACAATTAGAACACAAGAAACAGTAGGCAAAATCAGAATACAATCGAAAGCCCGTTCCCCGGCACGTCTATACGACCTTAAATGGACGTATTTCATGTATTTTTACGTATATTCATAAGAAATGAGCTTGAGCCCTGCGTTCCAGGCCTTGTCCACACGAGCGCGGTTCGCGGAACTTATTCCGAGGAACTTGTTCCCGGAACAAGTTTTAGCTGAGCTAGAAACTTATTCCTCCAAAACCCGGAACTTCCCCCGTATTCTGAGCTTCTATTATGTTTCTTTTGATGTGAATTGGTTTGTTTTTGTTTTTAACGTCCTTTACACGTCTTGACATTTATTTTTGTTACTTTGGCGGCCGTAATAATCTAGTATTTTGCGATAATTGTATAGTTTTATTGAAGTTCCGGTTTCAAATCGGGCGAACTCGTGTGGACAGCATGCTTCGTTTCAAGGAATAAGTTCCGGGAACTGAGCAGTTCGTCGAATAAGTTCCTCGAACCGCGCTCGTGTGGACAGGGCCTTAGATAAAGTTGACTTGTTCTTCTTCGAAAAATGCATTGCGTTCATTTGTGACCATATGTCGGTAGCTAAAGTGCGAAACCACGTATCTCCGTTTGCGACGTATCAGACCTCTTGTCAAATTGTATTTTTTCTTTGTGAATCCGGTCAAAGAAATTTCTTAGAGACTTCCTTGATTTTTGTTCTCTGTTAGTAGAATATTCTGTATTTTCAAGCTATGAATTGACTTCTGTCTCTCCGAGAAAATAAACTAGGAGTGGGGATTTTGAAACACCACAATGAAGATACGTGGTGACGCACTTTGGCCATCGATGTATCGACGGCATTCGATGGTAAAACTGCAGAAACACGTACCTCGCACTGCGACGGAGGATGCAAGTACTATTCACTATGACTAACGGCAACCCATGAAAGACCACTTAGTTAGTCCATCATTTTCCTCCTTGGTCTCTGAAAACCACTCGTCTCAACCCCATCACTCCATCATCCCTTCGTTTTCTTTGTCGAAAGCTTTGTCTATCAATTACAGTTGAACTACATTTTGCAATTTGGAACTATAAATTCTGGCCCGGTTTAAAAACAACGTGTGTGCCATTAGTTTTCCTATGCACATAAGTGTTTTTTCAGATGAGCCAGAATTTATAGTTCCAAATTGCAACATGCAGTCCAATTATGTATCTGCCCGCAGTATCTTTTCTTGCCGTCTCTTCTAATCCTTCTCCTGTTTCATCTGTGTCTGGTTCCTCTGCCTCCCCTTCTTCCGATCTCTAGCGAGTCCTCATTTGACATGTTAGGAGTCCTAAGACCCAGCAAGTTCATCAGACTGGGAGAGTTAATGACAACCGACTCAGTGGCGTGGCGTGCTTTGCGATATATCGATTGATTCGCCACTCAAACCTATGAAAAAAGATCGATTATCAGGGTGTTCGCAACAAACACCTTAGTAATCGATTCTTTACCGTAGCTTCAAATGGCGAGATATCGATAATCGATCCTTTACGCCGATTTCGCCTCCCGCGAGCATGATTCGTTTAAATCGAGATTTCATTTGACAGGATCGTGTTCGATTCCCTCTGTCTGGCAGTTTTACCATCCCTGGGGTTTTTAATAACAACGCGGACATTGAGGGTGCCTAGGTCTCATTAGGAGAAAAAAGTTACTATGGGCCTGTTGCAAACTTTTGCTAGAGCAAAAATAAGAGTTGTTTCTTGTAGATAATGCCTCAAAAATCACGATGAGCGCATCGCCAAAGTCTGAAATGCACTCATAAATTCACAATCTGCGTAAGAAATTTGCGTTATTTTGAGCTTCCCGCTTCAAAAACGATACTACGGCATAGGTGAACATTTTGTTAGAGGAGTCGCTCCATCGTCGGCGATATTCATCATGGCCGACACTTGCGCGCAGTTCCGCGCGTAATTCGAGGAGAGTTCAAGGTCAATCAATGCGGGCGTGGAAAACATGAACGTTAAAACACGCCGATTGTTATCTGGTCTAATCCAGTTCAGGTATTATCTCGTCCCATCACACGTGTTTTGGCGGACTGGCGTCGGCCATGATGAGTATTGTCGCCAATGGAACGACTCCTCTAACAAAATGTTCACCTGTACCGTAGTATCGTTTTCGAAGCGGGAAGCTCAAAAAACCGCAAATTTCTTACGCAGATTGTGAAGTTATGAGTGCATTTCAGACTTTGCCAATGCGCTCATCGTGATTTTTGAGGCATTATCTGCAGGAAACAACTCTTAGTTTTGCTCTAGCAAAAGTTTGCAACAGGCCCATTATACTGAGCTCCGAAGTCCGAAGAGACCCGCTGCATTAGAAAACTCGCAGGGTCGTATTTGGACTGCATTTTGCAATTTGGAACTATAGATTCTGGGTATTCTGAAAAAACACTTGTGTGCATAGGGAAACCAATGGCACATATGTTGTTTTTAAACCGAGCCAGAATTTATAGTTCCAAAATGCAAAATGCAGTCCATTTGATCGTCGCACAGTGGATCGAGTCGATAGGAGAAGTCGGACAACATTTGGAAACTTTAAACGCTTATAACTTCGTTTATACGAAACTTTGAGGTTCTAAAAGTGGTTCTTTTGGTTTCCTCGTGGAATGGACCACTAGACAAGGTGCGAATTTAAGCAATCTGATACATGTTTCTTAACCAGAATTTCACGTACAACACGATTAACGCAACGAATATTACTGAAACGAACTCCTAACGAAGATATTAGCGTTTTTACTTCACATTGGTTACGAGGAATTTGAACTGCCCGCTCACAAGAAACTCAAAGCTCTACGTGAGTCAAACCGTGCACTACAACGGTTTCAGCAATCTTCTCAATCGAGCAATGTTCATTTCCCACCATTTGTTGTTCAAACTATAAGCAATTTGCTATAGCTGAGCCAAAGCGTCAAAATTGAGGTTGTCAGATTTTAATATAGCAGAGACTGTCATGATAACGTTTAGCGCGCGATGTGAATCACGTAGAGTGTTGAGTTTTCGTGAGCGGGTGGTTTGAATTTACGCATCAAAAATCATTAAATATCTTCGTAAGGAGTTAATTTCGGTAATTTTCGTTGTGCGCGCCGTCTTTTACGTGAAATTTTGTTTAAGAAACATGTATCAGAATGCTGAAATTCGTACCCTGTCTAGTGGTCTATTGTCTTCTTTGAGCACCTTTTAAAATTTAAAATATGACGAAATAAACATCAAAATTGGCGGTTTCATTCGAATCGTTCATGTCCGTCCTCTCTAATTGAGTCGATCCACAGTGCGGTGTTCTGAAATCGCCGAGGGATTGGGTAAAAATGTATTTAGCTCCTGCACAAAAGCGCTGAAACGAGCTGATATGTTGAATGCGACTTATCGTACTCTCGTGTGAGTGAAATTGCATAGCGAACGGATTTAAGGCGTTTTATACTTGGACCAGCGGAATCACAAAATCGGCAAGAGAATTTCAGTAAGCAGGGTCTTTGGCTACTTGGACGTATTTCTGCCAAACGGAACTATGTGCATTTTGACGTGAGCCCTGTTATGCATGTATTCTCTTGAAATTTATACAGACTATAGTACTAACGGAGAAGAAAATCAAGGAAGTTTCTAAGAAATTACATTGACTAGTTTTACAGAGAAAAAATAAAGTTTGTCAGGAAGTCTGCTACGTCACAAACGAAGATACGTGGTTTCGCACTTTAGCCATCGATACATAAGGTCACAAATGAGCGCCAGTCTCGCAATGAATGGTGCTTACACCCAGCCATAGTTCATTCTATTATCGTTGGATTTTAATATCCTCTAAAAAAGTTGCAGGTCGATTATTGAATCGATATCGAATGACCTTGATCGATATATAGCATTGCCAAGATAGGGATATATCGATCGAGTTAATTCGATAAAGATTCGATAATCGACCCACTGGACGTCGCATCGGGAAGAATATGTTTAATTCATCGCTATTCAGCACTATAGTCTCGACTCTCCGGGCAGAAACGCGTTAAAAACTCGCGATTCTGCGTAAATCATCTCATCACGGATACTTAAAGTTTAATGGCAGCGTTTTAGTGGAAAATACTGTGGAGGTTTTATGAACGCAGCGGAATATTCTCAGGGCGACTGCTCCATCAGGAAAACCCCGAACTGCATTCTTCTCATGGGTTGTTATGGAGGAGTTTTTTCCCCATAAAATTTTACAAAGTTGCCGCGTTCCCTCAAAACAATAAGCGCAATAATGATGCTTGCTGAAAAACTGGATTGCTGAATTTAACGATTAAATTGTTAAAAAATATGTCACAGGTCACACATGTTTAAAATGTATATTTTACAATAGCACTAAATAGAATAGTGATCACAAAAAGATAGTAAATAAAATCAATAATCGGATAGTATGTTAATCTATTAAACTTTCTTTTACAGACTATAAGCACTAATAGAATTAAAATTGATGAAAATAAAGCTATTACTCCCCCAGCTTATTGGGAATTAATAGATCGCAGAATTGCATAAGAAAATAAGTAGATTTCTAACTTCTCACCACGGAGGTGGTTAAATAAGGATTTTTTATTGTAAAATCTGCATTGAAGCATGACAGACACTTTTTTAACTACAAAATTGTTAAATCAGCAATTTCATATTTTTTCGTGCACCTCGATGTTATGTTAAATACTCACAGGAAATGAAAACCCTTTGGTCTCATTCTCTGTAATATCATTTCGTGATTTTCTTGTGGGGTAAGTGGACAACATTTTGCAATTAGGAACTGCGATTTCTGGCTTCTCCATAAAACACGTATATGCACAGGGAAAATAATGGTGTATACATCGTTCCTAAACCGAGCCAGAAATTGCAGTTCCTGGTTGTTAAATTTAGTACAGTTAACTCCAACTAGGGTGAACCATTAAACTGTACCTTACAAAACTTCTTGAGATGTCCTTGAATGTATTGAGGATTCTTTTTAAGTCATCAG